ATTGTTCATTTCAAAGCACAGGAGCATGCAATTTGGGATCAGTGAACTCTATTTCCTCTTCAACTTTTTACATCCATCAGAAGGAACGCGGAAGGGGAAAAGAGAAGCGTGTATGGGGTATTGAAATGAATGAGTCTCGTGAGGTTTATCTGTATTCCTATGGGAAACTGGACCATTTAGATGCATACATCTCCAGAGCCAATATTGGTTACAAATCTTGGAAATACTATCATGTGGCAATCAATCATGCAAAGGCGTTGGCAATTGCTACAGCCTACAATATCTACAAGGAGTGTACTGACGGAAGCCTGGGTGATGAGTGGAAGTTGAGCAACGTCATGAGCTATCGCGAGTTCCGTCAGAGACTGGCTTTGCAAATGATTAAGTATGATCCTGTTGAGCAGGCATATAACTGCAATACTAGATTGAGGCAGTGTACAAAAGCAACGCAAAGGGTAAGAATTGGTATGGCAACCAGAAGAAAAGCATGCAAGACTTTCCTTAGGAATGGCAAGCTGCTTTCATATCACAATTTGCAGACCATTACTGAGTACAAAGCAAAGGGACGGTTTTGCTTCACTCAGAGTGAATACAAGAAACATTTGATAGCAACAGGACCAACCAAGTCAAGAAGCAGAAACATTTGTTACATGTGCGGTAGCAATACATACAGCTTGTGTCAGTTATGTAAAGTCCCTTTGTGCCCTGCCCATACTCATTCAAGGAAGCGAGACTCTAGTGGAGATCTTGTTGAGAGGAAATTTTGCCACAGCAACTACCACAATTACGAGTGGTTTGGTCTGGGAAGGAATGACTACTGCTCTAGGGTAAGAAATGACAAGAAAAGAAAAGATAGGACCCAATGGAAGCCTCCAACCAACGATGAGTTCAAAGACAACAGTGAGTACATGAAATACTTGTTGGGCATCGAGGATGATGAGGAGGACACTGGCTTTGGTGACAATGATGATGATGGTGATGGTGTTGGTGTTCTTGTTTCACCAACAAGCAACACGACCGTGAACAGTGAACTAACTTTACCGGCGGAGAATAGTACCACTACTGGGTTAACAAGCTCAGTGGTTCGATCATTAGAATCAGTGTAATAAATGAAATACTAGTTATATTGATTAGTGTACGTATCAGCAAACTCCTCCGTATCAGCAGCTCATTCGGTTGCTCCCTTCCTAAGTATCAGTGAACTCTGTATCAGCAAACTCCTCCGTATCAGCAAACTCCTCCGTATCAGGAAACTCCTTCKGTTCCTTCCTCTGTATCAGCAAACTCCTCCGCATAACTCCTCCGTATCAGCAAACTCCTCTGTATCACAAAACTCCTCCGTATGAGCAAACTCCTTCGGTTGCTTCCTACATATCAGCAAACTCCTCCGCATTGATTCGTATCAGCAAACTCCTCCACATTGATTCCTAGTACGTATGAACTAAACTCCTCCGTATCAACAAACTCCTCTGTACTATCAGGAAACTCCTCCGTATGAGCAAACTCCTTGAGTTGCTTCCTACATATCAGCAAACTCCTCTGCATCAGCAGCTCATTCAGTTGCTTCCTACGTATGAACTAAACTCCTCCCTATGAGGAAACTCCTTCGGTTGCTTCCTATGTATCAGCAAACTCCTCCGTATCATTCGGTTCCTTCCTCCTTATCAGCAGCTCATTCGGTTGCTCATTCAGCAAACTCCTCCTCTGTATCAGCAAACTCCTTAAATATGAATAATACACTCATTCGGTGGTTGATTATTTGGTTGGTTGCTTATTCGGTTGCTGATTCGGTTGCTGGTTCTTGCAATCCACCTCCTCCTCATCCTTACGATTCATCTCCTCATAGTCAGCTGAATCAAAGGATAAGCTTCTTTGATCATACATAGGATGTCCCCACTCATCAAAGCAAAATTCTTTTGCACACTGAATACAGGGATTTTCATTCTTTTCCCTCTTCATGACTGTCCTGTAGATCTCAAAGAACCATTCATGCTTATCGCCATCACTCATTGTCGGAGGCAACAGTGGCTTCGCGAATCTAGCAAGCTCTATTGCCTTTGCAAGATCTTTCTTCTTCAAACAGGTCTTCTTTAAACAGCCAGCACAGGTCTCATTCAGCTCTTTGTTGTATGGTGTTGGCTTCTGGTCCCATTCCCAATCCTCCAC